GTATGGTTGTTTTTGTTGAATAAGACTGAGACAAACATGAAGGCATCTCAAATATATTTTTTTGTTATTTTTTAATGTTGGCTTTGTTTAAGGCCGGCCTGCTTTCAAGTCTGATGGTGTTGCAAAATGTTTTTACTGTAACAAAACCTGAAAGGCGAGCATGACAATCACAGTCATCATACAAATGGGTACAGCCATGATGGAAGCAAACACAAGAAGTGCCCATTCTCAAGACTTGCTTACACGGAAGACAAAAATAAGGCAGCTAATTACTCCTACCACCTGCTGAGAACCCAGTCAAAAWTAGTTCTCACAGCACTGTGTATCCAACATCGTGCTTTTTGTAATTGGTCAGAAGCATGTGGGTGTGTTTGTTTCTGTAAAGCGGTTGCAGTGAGATGGTCTCTGAGCAGTGTCTGCTGCTGCTGAAAAAGACGGTAGAAGAAGTTGTGGAAAAAGGTTGGACAATGTTGTACACAAAGGAGACCGCATCTTCATAGTCGTTCTGACAGGGAGGGAGGGGAAAAGTTCATCTCAAACTACATAATGAGATTTGTCTCATTATGTAGTTTGTCTCATTTGTCTCRTCGTGTTGGATTATATATAGTAACGCTTCAGGGTTTTTGACTTGTTCTGAGCATTAGTGTCCCACAGAGCGCTGATGCAACATGGAGGAAGTATCAGGAATGTGCGCCTATCTGATTGAGACTTTCTTTGCAGAGCTATTGTTGGTGTAAGTTTTGTGCTATCAAGGAAAACTACAGAAATTAAAATACACAAAACCTACTTTGTGTTTGAAGAAACCAAGTTAAAAAATAGTAATAAATTGCTGGATTTTCATGAATGCTTTTTAAATTAACTTATTATTTTCACTCCATGTTCTTTAGTAGTAATGAAACTGATTGACCCATTTACTGTAACATCTGCTAACCTTTGTTTAGCTAAATGATAATATACAACATATTGTATCTCAGTATTTTTACTGGTTATTGATAACTATCGCACCAATTTTGGAAACACATTTTGTTAAAAGGGAAAGCTGCTATAATTTGAAGGGATTACAAATGTTTGTTAAACCAAAAATCAGAACAAATTTGAAGGACAGATGCACTTTAGTAAAAGGTATAATATTATGGAATAATCTGGAAAATGACCATAAAAGCATTGGATCAGTGAATTCCTTTAAGAAAACAATCAAAGAAAAATTATTAATGAAAAATGAAATTGTTTGATTTGTATTAATTACTGTTTGAGGAACTGATTTTTTTTGTTTTGTTTTTTTATTTGGTTTATCATTGTTTGAAAATTCTTTTCAAAAGGAGCAGATATAAGAATTTTTCTTCTGCTGCCTTTCATTTAGTTTTATTTGTATTGTTGTTATGTCAGATATTTTGTTTTTTTTTTAATGAAATGAATAAATTAATTAAACTAAAAGAAAAACTTTACTATCTATATAGT